AACTTTTGTTAAACCAGTAAAGATTAAAGATACGGCAGTAGTTGATGTCATTTAAGGGATGTGGTTAGTTTTACTTTTTATGATCTCGCTGTGGGGAAAGAGGTGTTTGTCTGTTTTTCTAAGGAACACAGTGTCCAGGGGCCCTTGGCTGTACTAGGCCTGATCGTGGGGCCTGTGTGAAATCCAAACTGACTGATCCAGGACAGAGCCAGGATTACACCACTTCCCCCCTGAATTCTGTCCTTCCCAACAATGGGCTTCCTGTAACCACAGTCAAGTGAGCCGTTAGTTAGCCAGTGGAGCCGCAGAGTGGTGGTTCAGGGCCACTGTGGGAAAAGGCAGGGGACTCCAGCATCATGTTACTATTCCTCCAACATAAAGCCCAAAAGCCCCCACCATCAGCATCACCACCCACCACTTTGCTCCCAGTGCCTTCAAGAGGTGTCGGGTTCTGGCACCTGCTGGAGGCCCTGGCAGGTTCATGCCCCTGGCAAGTTCAGATGTCACTCCAGCAAAGAGCTTGTCAGTAGCCCTTTTAATACAGCCTGTTCAAGGCGGGAATGTTGTGCCATTATTCCACCTCACTGTTATGTATAAAACATACAAACATGGAATGGTAGTGGTGGGGGGGCATTGTACCACCGTTAAGCCAGCAGCAGAGGTAGTAACAGAGCTGGGAGGACTTTTGTACAAAATGGTGGAGCCAATGGACACTATACCGACGCTGTTGTGTCACATGTCACATCTCTCTTTTGCTTCCGGAATGTCGGCATGCTATCAATCACATTGTTGGTTCCATGTAAAACAGCAGCGTAATGACAGGTGTTCTTTACGGCAGTAGTGTCCCAGTGGTCAACGGGGTTGACTAGCAGTAGTATTTCTGCCACTGAAGGCAATACCCTCAAGTGGAAACTCTTAAACTGTAAATGTACACATGGCGATAAAAAAGGAAGTTATGCACATTTATGACATTCCTTTAGTCATGGTTGAAATGAATATTCTGAAATAATAACATGATGCTAAAATTAGTAAACCATTTACTGAAGGAGAAAGGTTAAGGTAATGATTTATTTCTATTAAATTCTCATCCCAAGTCCCTATTAATAGTGGGACCAGATATTCATTGATACTATAAATCATTTGAGCAAGAGGTCAATACCATGTCACTGAATTATCTCAATTTAGCTTTGATAAAATTGCTTCTGTAGCAAAAACTTTTTTTTTTCATGCATAACAAATTGGAAAAAGAGGGAAGGAGAAAGGGAGAAGGAAAGGGTGAAAGAAGGATAAAAGGGGTGGTAGGTGGCAATTTACTTAGGAGTGAGAAATCCTTCAGCACAAAGGCCATCAACAACACCGATCTTTTCTTTAGTGATGTCTTTAGCAGTCTGGGAGTAGTCCATACCAGGTTTAATTATGCCACACAAAAAAAGAATGTTCTCTGTTATGTCCTAAATCACAGTGCAGCGACACCCAGCTCAATAAGTCTTTCTAGAACAATGCACCTGGTGCCATCGACATCCTCTCACAGAATACAAAGGTGTATCATTTGGCCAGGAATGATAATTAGATGTGGAATTTACTGAAACTGTCAATGGTAACGTCAATAGAGACGCTCTTAGCATCTGTCATGCTGCAAATCAATAACAATTTTCAGCGATGAATTCAAGAAAATGATAGCTTTCAAATAAACTGCAGGAGAGGAAATTTGAGACACTTCAAAGCCATCTACTCTTGTCTTTTTTTTCCTTCTTTTTAAAAATGTTATTACCGGTTTATTATCATTTTTAGATCAACTTGGTCTAATAGTATTTATTTCAGATATATCTTTGTCACCTTTCCCAGATTACAACTAGTTAAGTTAGATTAATTTCACAATTTTAACCAGTCCCGTTCTGTGGTGAATATATAATTATAGCTAGACTGGTGTCATTACAGTAGTAGTAGGAATACAAGCAAATAAAATACTAACAAGAGAACTAGTTCAATTCAATTCAATTTTCAATTCAATTTTATTTGTATAGCGCCAAATCATAACAGAAGTTATCTCAGGACAGCAGGTCTCGACCGTGCTCCATATAAAATTAGTAAATATATATGACAAATAACTTTCTCTAACAGTAAATAATTTTTCACATTCTACATTCATTTTAAAACATATTGTATGATTCCTGCATTTAAAAGTGATTGTGCTTCCATCTGACACTGAACTTGACAGATTTGTGTCACAGTGAAGCAGTGGTCACAAAACCTCAAATTCACAGAAGTTTAAAAAAAAATATTATCTATACTGAGACACTGGTTGTTGTTTATTTAGGATAATTTGTGACCTGCTCCATCATTTTGAGTCACTTTGACCCAGAAACACATTTTGAGTTTTCTTCATGGCTGTAAAGAGGAAAGTCTCAGCTTTATGGCGATACCAAAATTATTTTTCTACTCCAAAAATTGTATGAGACACGCCCTTCCAAAGGTCGACTGTCACCAAACCTTGTTTTTGAGAAAAAAGGGCTCTAAAGATAGCAATCAACATTCCGCCATATTCCAAATGAATTAAAAGACATTTATAGACAGTTTATATTCAAATAAATAAACTTTACTGCTTTACTGCTTTACATAATTATAATCAGAGAAATTGTATGCTACCATCGGGTCAGCCACGAGTGGAATATCTTCCTCCTGGCCTCCGTCACACTCACTTTCTTTGCCATCACGATCGGAGCCGGCCAGTGTCGGTAGCGCGAAATCCGAGTCAGACTTGGAGGTCGAGCCGCCGCTGTCACTCTCACTCTCAGCTGCCGGTGCGGTGAAAAAGTCCGTAATAAGGTCGATCCAGTTGTCGTAGCATGTCTTACAAGAATTGAATTTAAAAGTCGAGCAATTTCGTCGTCGCGAAAATTAATTTTGTCTAGGCTGTCAATCTGTCAATCTGTGTCCGTGTCCATGTCGATCTAAACTGACAGTTGACAGATGACGTAGATGACACAAACACGCTAGCCAGTGTTTTGAACTCTGACACCTGTTTTGTTTTATTTATGCTAGCTATATTTATCCTTTGTATTTTACATTAATTTTGACATGGTATGAAACTTGAGACTTTATTTAATTAGAAACATGTAAAAACTGAAAATAGCCCAAAATTCTATTTTCTTGTAAAAACGTGTTTCTACACAAACGGGCCGCTGCGACATCCGACTCATTTTGATGGAACGCGTCACATTTGTAGTTTCTAGATGAATACGAATATATGGATGTAATCTATAGAATTGTAATTCAACAATAGTATCAATAATATTTGACCACTATGCTGATGATACTCAACTGTATCTGTCATTATTACTTATAGTATTATAAGTAGCATTGATAAAATATTGGGTTTGAGGTTTACCTTTACACTGTATGTGAGAAACACATGCTGCTTACATCATGAAGACTCTTGTTATTGGTGCACTGTAGGACTACTGTCATATTGTATGGTTAGAGTTCATTTTATTTTTTAATATATGAAGATTATCATCACAATATTAGTAGTAGCAGTAGTATGGCTTAAGTTAATCAAGTGATTAGTATTTTCAGAGAAAACTAATCTGTCTCTTTGTATCATATATACACATATATATTCGTTTACAGCCTATTTTGGGTTTTTATGCTCTTTCTGGGGCAAAGCAAGTAATCTGAAATGTTCACCTTGGGTTCTGGGAAATTTACAATGGGATTTTATTCTAAAATATCTGTCAGCTGCAGCCTTAGGATTGTCGATACTATTGTTTTATTTTATTATTTCTCAATAATTTCCTCTTTCACTGTTGTAAGGCTGCCTTAAAAAGAAAAGGTCAAGGAATATTACTGACACAGTACATAAAACAAAATATAAAACAGCTTTGAACCATGAGCTGGACTTGACAGAGGCAGCTCTAAAGGCATTCAGATATATATTTATCTCCATCTCTGGCAAATGTAGGGCTGGGGTCAGCAGGTTTTGGACTCAGCAGGAACTGAAGGTCAATGGCACAGATTTGGACACTGAAATAAATGTATAACTGCTGGTCACATCACAAAGAACAAATTAACACTGCAGCAATGCAACACTGTAATCTTCAGAGAGGTATAAAGACCAGTTAGTCAGGCCTGGAATCTCACAGAGAAAATGAGAGCCACTTATCCAATAACGAGAGCTTAATGAGGGTCCCTTTAACTAGCTACAATGTCTCTCTTTCCCTTGGAGAAACATTTGTCTTACAGTACAAATGTGATTCATGCATCATTTCTATTGTGAGAGAGAGTGCTGTAATAACGGTATAAATCACAAAGGACCTAGGTTGGGGTAATGAGACTTAAATCTCTTAAAACAACACCATGAACTCAGCTGAATGATAAAATGATGTGGTGGAGGAAAATACTACCTTCTTCGGGTAAAGCTACACCACTCTGCGCATAGGCACGTATGGCTTTTGGCAGTGCAGAAGCCCTACTTCATTTAGCTCTGACAGGCAATTTAATACCACAAAATTACTAACCTTAGCTTTGCAATTACTTTTCCAGCTCTGAACATTTTCAACCCTTCTGCAGATGTAATCTTAAGGCTAAGGCCTCTGGATAGGGCAAACCCCAAGGTCTTAGCTTACACTTTTACTGGGGCTCTGATCAGACAAAACATGGAGAACACAGGAAATGTAGAGAGGAAAGTAGTTCACCCATTTATGAGTAATTTTATGTTAGATCTAGTCTACCATGTTCCTCTGCAGCCTGCCAACATAACATAAAATGAAAAGTACAGATTGTGATCATGTATCGAATAGCGAAGGCATGACAAACCAAGCTCTAATCTCATCATAAAGAGTCACATCAAATGTGACTGTGATGTTAGCTTGATAAATTATCATTGTTCTGCTGTTAATGGTGTGATGAGCACACATTTTATTCCATCTGTCAAGACAGGGGATGAACTTCAACAAAGGCATACAGGAAAAAAAAAAAACAGGAAGAAATAACAGACAAAGTTTGACTAAGAGTGTAATTTATTAACTTATGCTCTTTTCTTTAACATGTGCTCCTTAAATCCAGCCTTTACATGAGGTTACTGCAGCTGATATGCCTCATCCTAGTTAAAAAGCTTATTTAGACAGCATCCACACTGCCTAATGTAATCTCTTATCAGTCTCCTGTAAACCTCCTCACTTTATCATCTTAGCATCTTAAGCATAACCTTAGAAAAGTCATATTTAATTCCCTGGTGGCCTTTCCACATTTAGGCCTGTTTTGTCAGTGGGGGGAAAGGGGAAATGATTTGTACTGATCAGTCTCTGCTCTCCTTGGCTCCTAACTGCAGCTTTACTGAGCTTCTGACAGATGTGTCCCCTGCTGTCTGATTAAAAATGGTCATTTCTCCAGCACACAATGTGGTGCGGTAACCTTTCATTTGAAGGATGATTGCCGCACAGTGACAGACACTCTTCCGTTTGTTCATTTTGTCTGTCCACAGCAAGGATATTGACATTCAGATTTTGCCTATGCTTTCATCTTAGAACAGATGTCACAGTTGGCAAGTCGTCTAGACAGGAACAGCAGGTAGGACAGAGCTCAAGAGGCAACAGGAGACAAGAGGCGAACGTGACAATGTGCAAAACAAGTGTATGTTTTACATCAGTCTGTCCTCTTTCCCTTGCTGCAACTCACAATGACCCTCATAGAACATCTGCCTGCTGTGCTGGGCAGGTATTTGTGCCCTCCCCTCTCCTTGGCCTGTTTCTCATTCTCACAGGCTGGTCTGGTGCAAGAGGGAACACCAGCCAAATTATGGAAACCTTCGCTCATCTACGACAGGCCGAAACACAAACCTCAAACCCCCTGCGGTGGGCCAAATCCCTTGCTTGCACAAATGAGGATATTCTAATGTCAGGCCTGTTTGCAGGGGTGTAAACTTGTGGAAGTGGTGGTATCAGATAGGATATCAAAGTCAACAAGCCTGTTGCTTTAAGCTGATCCTTCTGTCCCCAGGAAAACTTCTGCTCTGTGAAAGCCCAGAGGAGCCTTCAAATGTTTCCCCAAGTGCAACCCGATCCATAACAGACAGAGTCATGCAGCTCCCAGTGCTATCAACACTCCATGCACAGCAGGGCCACTCTAATACCCCATTCCAACATGGCAGCCAGGAAGCACTTGAAAAATCACACAGCCAAGCAGTAGAAGCCAATGCTATACATCTGCTGTATGTAGCAGCTGCAATTTATTACTACCTGTTGATCTACCGTTAAGACTACTCTTAATATTAAAAGTAAACTTCTAGTATTATAAAATGTGTTTAATTGCAAAAGCTACAAATTGTTGATGCACTGCTGCAGATTATTATACACAGAGCATGATACTAAATGTGCAGATTTTTACTGCAAGCCAACCATCAACTTGCAGTTTGTATTAACAGGACGGCCAATGTTGACTGTTTTCATTCAGAATTTTAACATTATCCAGTCTATAAAATATTCAAAAGTATTCATATCTTATCTTTACTGGCTTTCTATAACATTGTCTGGAGTATCATATAGTATTGCTGTGAGAGGAATTTTGGTCTGTAACTTTTTGGAAGGAAGGGTTTGGACATGATTTGGACACCCTATTTTTATCCTGATGCTCACTGTCAGTATGAATAGCATCATTGAGACTGCTGACTGCGGCTGTTTATTTGCTTGTGCCATTCCGTGTGTTAAGAGTAGGTTTCACTGTTTTAATATTGTGCAATGAAGCATTTACCAGCTGGTTTACCTAAGGTGCAAAGTACTTATATGTACATAATATAAAGTGGTCTATTTAAATGCTCTAGAACCATCACATTGCTTTACAGTGGCTAGAGACCACTACTGCAGCTTCTATCTGTAGTTGTAATATTTAGCAAGTTGTGATATGTTTACAGATAACCGATATCATGCCGTCACTTTGTTCACTCTCCTCCACTGCAGGTTTTACTTTTGCCCAGCTCAATCTGAGATGATTGGCTGGACAAAAGTGATTTGGTTGCCTATCAAAGCAGATTTCTGTCAATCAAACTCAACAAGGGAGTTGTCACACCATCTTATCACTGTCCGTCAACATAGTGACAACTCTGCAGCTCTTTGGATTATAGTGTCCACACAGAGGAAGCTCTCAGTTCAGAAACAACCACCAGAGCACAGTGGGCCACATCATGTGGAAAAGCTCCTTGGGTGATAAAGGTACTTATAACCCTACATATATTTATGGATACCATTAAAAACAAAACTGCTATAAAGAAAATAGCTGACTGCAGAGCAAAAAGCCCGAAGGACCCAATTTCCTCCTGAAGCACCTGATGGACACACTGACAAGCAGATTGCTTTCCAGTACCAATTTTTGGAGCATGTGAAAAATGGTCCGCACAGCCGGTATGTGGTCTGAGATGAGTCATAAATCTTGTTTTATCTCCTCCGTGGTGGTAGCAGAAAAGGATGAGTTGCTTTTTTTTCATCTCATTCACATGTCTATCTGTCTGTTATCTGTGCCCTTGAGCAAAGATTACTGATGCCCTGTCTTTGATATATGACACATCACACAGAGCAGCTTTTCATCCCGCGAATTAACCCAGAGAGGGAGAAAAAAAAAAAAATGCAAACCTGACTGCCATCAGCCCAGGGGGGCTCTCTCACTGTTCCTTTGTGCTCCTCTGACCCCCCTTCCTTATTCACATGATCCTACCCACCTTCCTTCCTTCCTTTAGAACCGTGGATCCCCTCCTCTTCCCTCCCCTTCTGATATTGAGCAGACGGGGAGCAGAGAGCATCCTGGGTAGCCAAGTTTGGTGGCAAATTGTTTATCTGACCTCTGCACGTCTCTGCATTTTATAATCTAGTGTGTGTCACCCCTGTCTCATCCCCATAACAAATAGCCCCTGTCAGTTCCTGCTTCCTTTATCAGAAGCAAGAGGTAAGGAGAGGGCCACTGTAAGTAACTGCACAGGAGGAAATCTCCTACAGAAAAACAAAAATGGGATTTCGAGTGAGTGATGAAAAGAGAGATTCCCATAATGATGCCTGAAGAGCAGAAAAAAGGATAAAAGGCAGAGATTAAAGAAACAAATGGTGGCATTTTTTGTGTTAACAGCTTATGTATGTCATGGAGGAAGAAAAAGACTGCGGCTTTAAGGAGAATATTACTGCTGTGTTACTGTCTCTGGTGAGGAATATTTTATTATTCAGTAACCAGGAAGGCAAGTAGCATTGAGTGCAGCCTAATGTATCATCTCCTAATACATCTGAATAATGGTGATTTAAATGAGTAAGACAAATAGCAGTGACCACTTTGTGCAATCTAAAACAGAATGTAAAATAACACATTAGGCCTGACTGCCACAGTGGAAATTAAAAGACTCTACATTACAGAGCAATAACCATTTCTCTCCCGACTCCAGACTTCATTAACCCAAAGCTAATCTCCCACTCAAACTCCCTGATCCTCACACGCCAAGGCGAAAAATGTGTTCAGTAAATACTGGTTGTTTTGTGTTTGGAAAAAGGGCCATGGAGCAGAACACTGTCTACATTTTATGTTTCCCTTTTCATCTAAGTAATCCAAAAAGGTCATAAATAAAATATTACACCACAAGGAAAGTGCTGTAATCCATTATCATAATGGCAATGTTCATGATCTATTTCATTAACATGCAGTCTTTAACCCAAGCAAATGTGTTCCTCACCCCAGCGTTGCATACCCATTTGCAAGATACAAATGTGCTCATGTGTCTTAACCTGGAGAGCTGCAGGTGTGATGCATCACCAGCGAACAACCCAAAAGAAGAAACATTTGCCATACTGTGCACTGCCTTGATGAACATTATATTATGTTAATATCAAACACTTTATTTCTGGCCAAAGTGGCATCATATGACAAGCCTATTAATAGATAATAAGGTTTATATCATGCCATTTTACAGGTATATAATAGGAAAACTTTTTATAGCCTACATAGGGCGCTGCACGGAGTATTGCCGTGCATGAGGAAAACCAAGGTCAGGTAATATCTGAATAAAGACATGTAATTTGACAGTAGGATTTCAAGTGCTGACAATATGCCCTATGTCAGACGCACTGAGAGCAACACTAACTGTGTTTATTTCTCACACTGACATTCACACAACACCGTTTAAAAGATGATGTGGACAGCAGCGTCCATATGTGTGAATGACTGCAACATAAAGCTGGAGGGCACAGAGGCCTACTTTCTGCCTCCTGTAAGTGTTAATATAACCTTTTCATCTGCTCACCCAATGGCTCTCCTGAATCAATTCCCCCACAGTGTCCCTCAGCGTCTGTACAACTGGCACCTCCACAACTTGTTCCATTTGTTATATTGAGCTCCATCTGGCCTCGGTCATTTGGCTTTTTAATTTAGTTGTCTCCTGCTCTCTAATTTGTCTCACATTTACAAATGGCATTGGCCGCCCGTTCCAAGCTGCCCCTCGTCAGCGGCAGGAATACATTTTCAGCAGCTATCGGGCCAGCCGTAAATCTGTAATGCCGTGTTATTAATAGATAGTAACAGATGTTTGCTGATTGTTGATTACCAGTCTTGTTGACCAGTGAAATCTGTTCATAAATGGAATGGAATTTATAGCAGAGCAGAACATGTGCCTCTCGCTGGGAACATGGAGAAACAATGCCAACCTTTTAAATGAGAGACAATGAACTGAGTGCTCTAAGTCTCGCTTTTATTCTTCTTCTCCTAAATCCGCCAAAAACAAACACAACTGTATTTGTATAAATTAACATCTAATATATTCAATGAGGTTTATTTTAATGAATTTGGGGTATTTGTAAAGCTGAATTTAAGACATGTTAGGCTTTTAAGGACCTGCAGACAACCCTAGTTTTCTCTCGCTTTTACTGCTTATTACAGTACAGCTAGAAAGTAACTGTTTGGCCACAAACATTTTCCTGACAAACACGTCGCTGGAAAGTGACATGACACATTTCACTTGTCACTCATCAGCAGTCACAGCTGGCAGGCTGGTGATCAATCTTTCAGTAAGCAGGTGACATGACTGACTTCTAACAGTTTGCACATCACTTTGGAGAAAAGTTCCCATACAACTATGATTAAATGTCACCAAGGTAAGGTGGCACAAATGGTAGGCCAATACTGTTCACCTTGTTCCATATATTTCTATAAAAGTTGAAAAATGATTTCAAGTATTACATTTGTTTAGGTACGTCACATTGCAGCATTGCATTTGTTGTTTGCTGGCAAATTATTGGAGTTTTGGAGCCAATCAACTAGTGCATTATTTCTCTATTAACTGTGCTTTCCTGTTACCCGTTCCTGCTTTCTATGCCTCTCTTCTTAAAAGAGTAATCATTTCTGTGTATGACTTTCTATTTACAGACACTGTGTCGAGAAATTCGGGAGCCACACACAACAAGTTGCAAACTGTGACAAGTTATAAAACTTTAAAGCAGGCAGTAAATAGCTCTGTCACTCTATCCCCAGTGTTATATTACCTGGACACATTTATCTGACGGGTGGTAAATCTCAATTCCCCTTACCCCCCAAAAAGGCAAGAGGACATACAAGAAAATAAATTGCAGATAGCGTGGCAAAACATATGACTTAGTTAATCAAATGAACATGATGTTTCGAAAGGGAGCATCATTAATAATGTCAGCTGCTCTGACAGCAGTTTTGGGGAATAGAAGCAAAAGTCCAAAATTCAATAATGTTTTCCTCCTGCTGTACAGTTTATAACACTCCCTGGAAACAGTTTGTATTCCCTAATATTTTTTTTACAGTTGCTTCACCTGCCTGATATCCTTCAGCCCTTTCCTTCAGAAGCTGTCAAAGCCGCCAAGTATAATATATGGCCTCTCCAATGAGAACAGCTGTAGCCACTCTCTCTGCTGCTGCTGCTACCCTGCCCTGCATGAAATAATACATCAAGATTAATTGATTTCCCGTCACACTCTTAGAGAAAAGAAAATTAATTTTCATGTATCTTTCCCCCCCTTCCCCCGGCATATGAATTTTGTACATGGCAAGTAATTTAAGTTTTTAATTATTCATAAGGACTAAAAACATGATAAAGTGTTTCACAGAAGGCCCCAAGGCTGTAGCCAGAAGCTCAGTGTGTTCTAAGACGACAATAGCAGTTTCCTTTGCCTATATAAATAATAAATGTATTTACATATATTTTAGTGCATCTTAGGTCAACATCCACCTCTCTTTCTCTCTTGGCTCAAAGAGAGTAAATGTTGGCTTAATGAACAATGAGTGTGATGAGTCACTGAATCACATGTATTTGAACACATCAATCAAACATCAACATTATCATCAACATCAACATCAACATCATTTACTATATTAATGCTGTGATGTTACATATATACATATTTTATCTAACTCAGTAAACTATATTCACTGCAAGTCATAGTGTCTTGTCTGTGCACTGTTGAGGCTCCGCCCACCACCAACAAACTCAAGGTTGTCAGGGTTTAAAATGTTTTATACTATTTTTTAGCTTCAAGGACACCAATATTACACCCATATGCTACATAACAACAACAACAACAACAATATTAATACAAATTGTAATAATTATATAAGTTTTGGCAGTACACAGTATGTAGATTAGTTTATATCAGTTTCAACAGCTCCAACATTAAATGCTTATACATTAATGCATCGATAACATTAATCCTCTGGAAGTAGCCATTCTGTAAGCTGAGCATTTTCACTTTTGATTCTCAAGTACATTTTGCTGACAATACTTTCTAATGCTGCAAGCACTTTTACTTACAATTGATTATTGTGAGAACGTTGTTCTGTCTCAGCTGTTTGTGGCCTTTTGAGATATAATCTCAGACATTCTTCCAAGAAAAACACAATTACTATTTATCCTACTAATAAAGAGTAAATCAAAAGTCATCTTTGGAGTGTTGCAACCCACTGGAGTCGGTTTGTTCTGCTATGTGTTTTAACGTTGTCCAACTGTGTGTCAGTGGATGATTGAGAAGTATGTCTGCTGTGAGAGGCAAGAATGCTGCCCTGGTTTTATGTGCAAGCCAAAGGTGGATGCCATGCCTCTGACGCTGTGGCAACATGCAGGCCTGACTGGCAGGCAAGGCTGCAGAATGATGTGCATGTTGCAGTCTGATCTTCCGTGTTATAGGACACAGCAACAGTGATGAACACCAGCAATTACATGCACTGAGAGGGAAGCTTCTGTGTGCATGTTTGCATGCAAGTGCCAGGGTCTATTGAGAAAAACCATTTACTGTTTGAACAAGAGAATTTTCAGAAGTGTAGGCCTGCCAACTGTAACTGAACAAAGTATTCCATGTCATAGCAACTCCTACCTGTATTTATCTGTGTTTAACACACTTTTCTAACTCACTGTGCTCAATATAATACCCCGTAAGACCGCACACACACTCCAAAAGCTCAAAAGAACAAAGGAGTGATTAACGTATTAGGGGATGAGAGCCCCTGCAACCCCCACATTTGTCTTGTCTGATGGTTAGCAAAAGTGTAATTATAAGGTGAGATGTTTGTGTATGCATGTGTGATATCACGTGTGTATGTGAGTGTGTGAGCATGTGTACGTGTGTGTGTTAATCTCTTACTGTGGTACTAGTTAAATTGGTCTGTCTAGCGAAAGGTTCTAATTATAGTTGTAGAGCCTAATTAGCATTTAGTATAACACCACAACAAATGCCGCAAAATCACACTAATTCCGCAATAAACTGCCTCAATGCTACACCACCAAGCTGCTTTGCTGCACACTAAGAATTAATTGCAGCACACAGCAATGGGCCAATCCTGTACTCCTGCTGAGTGTGTTAAATCATTTTTCACTCCTTCCAGATTGTTTCTATCAACAACTATTCCCAGGAACCCTAATAAGCACATATCCTCATTAATATCATAAAACCTAAATGATCTGCAATCTCAAAACATGCTTTAGCAAATTATTAGGCCACTGACCCAACGGATACTGGTGTGGAGCTTTTCCGCAAGGGAAGGGGTATGCTGGTTGGTGTTGATGGCGACATATTAAAGATTGTTGTAAGAGCAATGGGAATCTGTGCAAATCTCCCTTCCAAATTAGATTTCAATTCTTAGGATAACCATTAAACTCTAAATTCAGTGAAGCTGCTACAAGTTTTATCTGTGGTTTACTTTTGCATAAAGAAACATGCCTTATTTCTATATATACTGTATATGTAAACTGATCTAACCTCGAAAATACAGGTAGTATACTAAAAACAGTAAATTCATCATATATTAGCATTCAGCACACTTGAGCAAGAGCCTTAAAATTACATCTATAAACATGCAAATTGTATTAGTTGTTGCATTATGCTACTTCTTCCCCTTGAGATGAAAAAAATCTAGAATGTGTCCAAATGTTTGCTATCATTAAACCGAGTGGTTGAAATTATATTTCCTTCTACACATCAGAGTTAGCAGTTACATTGACAACATTTGCAATTGCAATGCCAATGTATTTAGCAAAGAAAAGACTGTTCAGTCTTGACCCTGAAAATAACAGTTTGAGAAAAAATGTCCACTCAAGGTCCACTTACTAGCTTTTTCTGGATCTTTCCAGAAGATGCAGTTTATGTTTGCTCAGGAGCAAGCTTCAGCAAAAGTGGTAGACCTTGAGTTTTTGTCAAAGAAACTATAATCGGCATGTTACAAGATCTTTTCATTTCTAAAGATAGGATTTACCACCAGGCATCTCACTATGGATGTATTACTTCTTCACACAACAAGTATTGCGTCCCAACACAACAGCCACAAAAGTGGGACTGGTGTACAAGTGGACAGGTGTATCATGCAGGAATTACCCGCATTTTACACGTGTCCACAAAAATCAGTCAAATACAACTCCCTAACCAATAATAAATAACCCGAATGGGCTCCACTAAATATAGATGACTGTTAGGAAAGAACGGTAAACCTTTCTCCCTTTAACTTATGTTAAATGACAACCCTGTCTAATGAAATTGCATGTTGTAAGGCAATACATTTACACTAATAACTGCATTCACAGGGCCCATCTGTTCTGAAATGGTAAGACACACAGATGTGATTGGAAAACCATGGGGGAATACAGATAATATTTGATATGGATGGTTGGTTACATATATGTGGATATGGAAGATGAAGATTGGTGAAAGAATGCAGATATTGATAGATGACAGTTATGAGAAATAAAAATCTCCATTTGGTTCTTCAGCACATGGCATTTATTGCAGCCGACTGATATATTATTTACTTTCTTTGACATCTGGAGTTAATGTTCCTTATCTTGGTAACAAAAACAATTTAGAAAGGCAACTTCCACAAGTCAAACTATGCCATTTCCCAGGCTCCTCTCTGCTATCTGTCTCCATTGAAATATTCTCTATTTATTTTGGAAAACTTAAACAACTGCTGTTATGTCCGCCTAGAGCTGGCATAAGCCAGAGTAGCAGATTCATCATTATAATACTTAGCACTGAGGGAGAAAAAATGCAGAGCTGCACTATATCGCAAGCATGATTTAGGCGCTACAGAGGCCACAGGAATTCAAGCTGTCAGAGTCTGAAGTAAATTCAGTTCCTGTAAATAAATTGGGGTGTCCAATGCTTGCACATACTATCTGCTTCTATAAACCAAAGGGAGGATCCTTGACTACAGTTGTGTTCTGGTTTATTAGCAAGTGTGTGAGGCAGAATAAAAACAGAATGAGCAAATACAGCTATGTTTTCCATCTGTACCAGATCACAATAAACGGAAATGTGTAAAGTGGGGCTACAGCAGATTTACAAGCAGGCAAAGCAACATACCTGTCATGCCCGAAATCTATTCAGTCCTCTTGAAACAAGCTTTCTTGTCACCACAATGACATCCAACCTATTTAGATACTTAAGTTACAAACACTGACAACTACTTTGCTGCTATAAAGCAAAGAAAAAGTGGCAGCCATTGTCTGTGCTCCACTGGATTATGATGGTAAGGTTTCGTCAAATACAATGTTTCCATAACTAAGGTGGCACACTGGTTAACTACCAATATTGACATTGTGAGGAGGCATGTATGAAAAAAGCACTGATGTAGACACTATTCCAGTTACTAACATTGCTATAAACGCTTGGTTTATGATTCATCATCTGCGGGAAGCCCAAGGGCTAGAACATAAAACTGTTCAGCTCTGAGAGGTCCGGTAGAGACATACATAGAGGTTACACTGCAATCTACAAGCTTGACTGAATCATTGAGCACAAGGTCACAAGACTGATACCACAGTTAATAGCAATATTAAAACCAAACAAGGGTGTTATTCCTGTATTAGACTTAGAAACTTTGAACAGATAGAGCCTGCATGCCCTACAGTTATTCAGAGATCAAGCTTTTATGTTATTGTTTTCTGATTATGATTACACTAATTTGGCCATTACATTTATTGGAGAACTTGAACATCTAGCTTCATTGCACAGGAAGACTAAAGGTTTACCTTTACAAAGAGAACCAATAAAGCACAGTTAAGCTTAAGAACACATTCAATAGGCTACTTGGTGAAGCTGGAAAGGAAGAGATGCAATAGAAATGTGTACGCCGAAAAAATATGTAATAGGCAGTGCAAACAACAATAATTAGCATAATTCTAAAAAATACTATCAAATCGCTTACTTGGTGCACATACATTTGATAGGCCAACACAGTTCATTGCCTTACACTGCATTGCAGGAAAAACAAGTTAACTAGGTATCTTGGTGAACTATACTACATTTTCTTGCTGGAGCACCCTGCTTAGAGATCCCCATTCCCATTTATCTGTATGAGATACCAGTAATGCTGAAATACCTGCCTGAAAACTGATAACCAAACCATACAGCCTTCAGATCATATAAAAGGAAAACAAACAGACCCAAACGGTCCCTGTGGGATGCCAAACTCCATTTAGGAATGTTTCAAATATCAACAACCTGTCTCCAGATATGAGTAAGACTTGAACTGCCTTACTGCAGCATTGTTAAAACCAGTGCCATTCACATTAGATGGAAACAAATCCCAGTTGGGTTATGCACCCTTTGTCAAACTCAGCATCTAATGGACAATGTCATGGTTTTAAATACATTTTATATAGCCTACTGAATCATACATGTAGCACACACTCATTTAACCCACATAATACTATATATAGCTTGAACTTAGCAGGCTGTTTACATGTATTGGTATGGAAAAAACAATGTTATCTATTAATTAAACACAGTTACACCTCAGAGGTTTCTGGTGTGACAAATAATCCAACACAGAATGTTATGAAAAAAAAAAGGTTATAAACCATGCTATTATCAGGTTCCATTTTATTGCAACATAACCGATAATAACTGCATCACTAACCCAGAGGCTGCTAAAAAAAACACCAACCCATCGCACATTGCTTGTATATAAGTTAGTTAGGTATAGAAAGAAAAACTGCAAATTGTAAATTAACTGCTTCAGGACGATATACATACTGCATAAAGGAGATACACGGACATCATGCAACTTATATGTGGGAACTGTAGTCAATATATTGGAATAAAGTATACGATTTCAAGTGAAGGAAATAAGGGAATAATAATGCTTCCCTTTCCGCCATCTCATCATAATGATTTACAGCGTACTCTATGCAAACATGTTGTCTTTTCATTTCTCATAGTGAAACAAATAGCCACTAAACCCTCCCTTTGCTTTGCTCAGGTCCCTTAAAAAGCAGATTTGAAAAATGTAAGGCTGCAAGCTACCCTGCTTCTCACTACTAGCTGACATGGGCATTTATAACCTTAAAAATGACTTCTGGGTACCAGGTATCCAATTATTCCTTACCCAGGAAGCAGTGCTAAATGGAGCACTGCAATGATTTACTCGCAACCTCTCCTTTTATTAAAACACTTTGTCTTATTGTTTTATTGATTTACAATCCGTCCTACTTTTTTGGCATCTGAAAACAATCAAGGCACAGGGCAGCAGAATGTTTGGACATTAATCGTTAAAAGACAGTGTTTTATTCCTGGCCTGGGGTTTGCTGCACCAGCTGCTGTGCATTCTGGTAAGAGGCAGTGATTTATGACCCGGCAGCAATAACGATGAGGCGTGCTCATTAACATATCGACAGGCTCCAAGATGGATCATCAGCATTGATTATTTCATGGCCTGTTGATGCCATTTGTTAAAAGAGAGAGAGAAAAGGGGGAGTGGGAAAGTAGGGAAAAGAGGAGGAGGGAAGTGATGGGCTGGCTTAGGAGGTGTGAGGATTTCTCGCTTGAATCCTTGCAGCACAGGGGAGAAAGACAAAACCCTGACTCCTTCAATCACCACAGCCATCAGTCTACTGTCAGAGGGAAAAATCAATGATTGACAGCATTTAACCAGTCCTCAGCACTTGGCAGATCCATACAGAAGAAAGGTGCTTGGTAGGGAGGGCCATACAGATCTGTCTTTACGCATGCTGTAAAACATTACTTCACAGCAAGAATTACAATATCAATCAGTCAATGCCATTCTCTATTCAAACAGGGGGAGAGCATACAGTAGTACAGTGCTGTGTACATTTATGTTCAGTATGCTAGGTGAGGTAGAAAAGTCTTACTCTGTTAGTGAAATGCTATGGCAAGCAAAAATGGTGACTCATGGTTATGTGAAGATAAACAACAGTTATATAACACTATTGTTTACAAGATATAAAAGTATATAACAAGCTTAATCACAGGCTATATTAAATCCAATCATGTAATTTGCATAAACTCCCATTTACTATCATAACACTTACATTTTTTTTGCATTTTGCAGATCGAATCATTAACAATGACACCAATGTGAGCAAATGTGTATGCTGCTCTTATCAGGTCGACTTATATTTGACAGCAGCTATCGTAAACTAATTAGTCAGGTCACTCTCACATACCATGTTTGAGTCTGTTGAGAAAAACAACCACATCTACATAATTTGGTACACAGCAAATAATGTCTCAGTTCACAAAAGAATTCACTTAATGGGACAAAGTCTGGTTGTACTCTCATAACATTATCTCTGCCCAAACACACCACTCACAATATTCACCAAAATGATTAGTTATTAATTTGATGGACTAATTGCACTAAAAAAAAAATCCTTTATTGAATTTATCTTAAATACTTATTTGTGAATACTTATAAACATATGAAACATTTTATTTAAAGTTTGATTTGTACCCATGATTATGCAACAATATAACCAAGGAAACCAGTATACAACCATGGAAGGTGTTAACAGA